GCCTGATTTCAGATCATGTGACCAGATCTGGACATCCCTAATGATATTGAAGAAATCTGACATTACGATATTTTGGTTTTCTGCAATTTATACATTGCAACATGAATACAATGTCACCGGGTGGCTTGAATAGCTCTATTTGGGGAAAAAATCATTAATTTAGATTGATTGGGGTGATTTTTTAATAGTGTGAATTATGTATAAAAATAAACAACAAATTGCAAACAAGAATAACTACAATAGACCAAAGAAAACCGTCAAATAAACAGTGTGTTATGGTTTTTTGGAGAGCCAAACAGTTGTGTTAATAATTCAGTGAAATTATTCTTCATTAATGGTACTAATGTTCTTCATTTGTGCTCGACCTCACACCTTCAAAACACATACAACTGAGAATGTTTCACTTTGTTATGCTTATACTCTGCGATGACTCAACAAATCTCATGCATTTTCAATTTTTGCTTAACTGTGATTCCAACTCAACATTGCATATTCTGCGATGTGACAAAGGAAGTAACGATTCACCATGAGCCGGTTGAAAATCAGTTCAAATATGTGACAATTCAAATCAATAGAAATGTTGAACGAATCGCGAAACATGTTTTAAACAGAAGAGGGTGGTGTGCTTATAGGCGCAAACTCACATCTCAGTTCTCAGTGAAATATTTTTTTTTAATCAGCAGGGGACATTGTAAATCTACAAAGATCTTAGCTCATGCCAGAAAACATAAAAATAATAAATATTTGTCAAATCACAGTCACAGTTTTAGTTTGTTTTAATTTGTATTGTAAATTTTTTATTTGGAATTCTTTAGTTTGAATGATTCACTTTTTATTTTTTTATTATTATTATTATTTTTAAATTGCAATTTAGTTATTGCAGAAGATTTTATTTTGTAAATAAAAAACTGCAGCATTTCAGGAAAAATGAAAGAACACTTGTTAACCTTACAGTTGTCTAAAAAATGGTGTTTAAAATCATGACCAAATAGTGTATCGTGAGATTAGTATCATGAATAGCATTGCATCGTAAGTCAGATGAATCGTTACATCTCTATGACTATTGTGGACACGCACATTGTCATATTTTTAAAGCACTACAGACTGAAATGGGACTTGCATGGACATTTTGCCAAATACCCTCAAATAACTACAAATCTTAAGAACTAAACAAAAGATATTTTAAGCATCAAGTTTGATAAACGGATGATTCATACCATATGTGCTGTATCCAAATCCCTTACCTCTGTCTACAATGACTAAGACACAATCTCAAAAAACACCTTCTGTGCTCATTCTCTACAGCCTATTCTCTGTAGGTTATACTTTGCAATGACTCCACAAATCTCATGTATTCTCAAATGTTGATCCACTATAAATCCTACTCAACATTGCTTATCCAGTGATGTGACTATTGTTGACACATTGCGATATTGATGCTGATATTAATGCCTTGATATAAAGAACTTTAATGTGTAGAGATGGCCAGATTGAATGACTGGTGATCGGCATCGGCTGATAATCGCATTCTACAATTAGACTGAGCTCATGAATTGCAATTTGACATTAAAAAACACAAGGGTTTAAAACGAGCAGAGATTAAAAGATGCCACCAAAACGAACAACAATGCCATAAAAATTCAAAATAAGGGGACAAAAAAAACTCTTGTAGAGTTAAATCAAACTATTATAGCTAATGCTGTGAAAATAAATTAAGAGAGACAATTCACAGTATTATTTTTACAATTGTAAAGACTGAAATCTCAGATTCAGTATCTTTTCTTATACACCTTCCTTTGCAGAGCTCCACATTATTACCGATCACACTCGTCTCTGTTGAGCTTATGAACGCAGAGCCATTGGATTAGCCCCAGCAGAAGAGTGCTTACGCTCACTGACTAAACTCTCCACACTTGCTAATTGTTTTTATCATAAACAACAAAGTGTTAAAACAATGCAAGAGATCTATTTTGCAGCTTGAGTGATTATAGCAGATGTGTTTGCATAACTTAGAGACTAGCACACCAACATTTCTCTGTATAGCTAGAATATATGATATACTAGGGTTGCACAGCAATGTTTCTGCAATATTTATTGCAATATAAATACAGTTTCACCAAATAACTTGATATCTGTTTGGAAAAAAATGTATAATATTTCTGCCATTGAAATACATCTCTATAAAAATCTAATAAGCAATCTACAAATAAAATAAAGAAAAAGATACAATTGAAATAAAAACATTTTCCAAGTCTAGTAGTACTCAGGTACAGTAATTGAATAATAAAAACAAACACAATTCAATAAAATAAATCCCTCTTAAAGTTAGAAATGGTACCATTTCTTAAGCCTGAATGCTTTTAAAATAATTATACAATCACATGCATCAAAAACAAACTTAACATTGATATCCTTTGTGACTATTGCGAATTATCACATTGCGATATCGATGCTAAACTATATATTGTGCTGCCCTATATATGACATACTATTTTTCTTTACACAAACTAACAATGTTTCAGCTTGTTTTGGTTGTCAATCACATGTCGGACAATGTTTTAAGTTGAGATTAAAACTCTCTATTAGACTCTTTAATCAGCAGAATATACATTTTTAGCCCAGTTTTAAAGACCTACAAAATGTTCATTTTATTAATTCTATTTTAATTCATTCTTTTTTATATTACAAAAAAAGTTACAGAGAGCTTAGAAAACACTTATATGAAACCTAAATAATCATGATTGGCACCAGCCAATACACATTTATAGTGTTTTTACTACCTGGCAAAAGTCTTGTCATCGATCCCAGTTGTAAAAACATCAAATAATAACTTGACTTCTAGTTGATTATTTAGAAAAGTGGCAGAAGGTAGATTTTTCCAATAAATCATCTGTTGAACTACATCCCGATCATCACAAATACCTATTGGAACCCACATGGACCAAAGATTGTCATAGAAATCAGTCAAATTTGGAAAGGGAAAACTTATGGTTTGGGGTTACATTCAGTATGGGGGCATGCGAGAGATCTGCAGAGTGAATGGTAACATCAACAGCCTGAGATAAAGACATTTCTGCTGCCCATTACATTACAAACCAGAGGGCAAATTCTTCAGCAGGATAACATTCCTTGTCATACTTCAGCCTCCATGTCAAAGTTCCTGAAAGCTAAGAAGGTCACGGTGCTCCAATACTGGACAACCCAGTCACCAGACTTAAACATTATTGAGCATGTCTGAGGTAAGATTAAGGAGGCATTGAAGAAAAATCCAAAGCATCTTAAAGGACTCTGGGAGTCCAGCAAGATGCTTTCTTTGCCATTCACTGCAGAGATGGATGTAGTCCTCCAAGCTCATGGGAGTAATATTAATTGTTTCCACTGCTTCATGACTTTATATTCTATACTGTACATTATTTCTGTTAAGTGACAAGACTTTTGTCTAAGCAAAGACAGCAAAGCAAAGTCAGACCTTACTGTCCTAATTAAAAAATTTAAAATTAAGGCATGATCATATTTTATTTTGGTAAAATAAGCGTAATCTTGAGGCCTTCGCCTTTCATATTAACCACTTCTGAAACCAAATGATCAACTAGTAGTCAAGGTATTATTCACTGTTCCTAAAACTTGGATAGGAGGCGAGACTTTTGTCAGGTTGTGTACTTTTTTCTTTACTAGTTCTATCTTTCTAAACAACTTTTAATAATTAAAAACAAACATAAAAAAGAAAATGTAGCTTTGGCAATGTAGGTTTAAACTGCTTTTCCAGTGTTTGGCCTCAGAATTGTTTTTAATAATGAAAAAAAACACTCTGGCAGGACAATATATTGCTCAAAAATGTTCTTTACAACATTATATTCAACTGAAATTTATTCAACTTACAAAATACATTAAGGTGCACAATAGTTTCAACACTGATCCTAAAATCAGTGAAAAATCTTAAAACGTGCATCCTGAAAAATCATGCGACACTGAAGACTAACGTAATGGCTGCTATAGGAATACAAAGACATTTTACCATGTATTAAAACAGAAAACAAACATTTTAAATAGCAAAAATACTACAGTTTTAAAAATATATCTGTAACTCTGTTTTTGTAATCAAATAAAAGGAGCCTTATCAAACATAAGTGATTCATGTTTGAATGAGCTAACTTTTAAATAGCGAACTAAATAAAAAAAGAACTTCCAAATAGCAAAGTACATCCCATGATGCCACCATGCTTTCATATATAATTAGCCTAAACATATCACACATACAAACCAAGCTGTCAAATAGGGTGTCAAACCATGCCTTTCAATTCTCACTTCTCATGCACCTGACACCAACAACACCATATGCTCTTTATCAATGCGCTGTTACCCTTTATTAAACACACACACACACTTCTCTAAACGCCATCAGCTGTTGATCCGCTTTCACTTTTCAGTTTAACTAAGGTCGTCTCTGTGTGCCTTTATGGAGCAGAGTGGAGGCTTCCCCGTCTCGCTGTCTCCCCTTCTGCTATCGTCACAGGTCCACTGACATCAGATCAGCACTGGGCAAAACCAGCCAGGCTATGAGTCATGCATAAACACTCGCGCGCGCGCGCACACACACACACACACAAGCACACACACACACAAGCGCACACACACACACACACACACACACACACACACACACACACACAAACACACACACACACACACACACACACACACACACACACACACACACACACACACACACACACACACACACACACACACACACACACACACACACACACACACACACACAAGCGCACACACAAGCGCACACACACACACACACACACAAGCACGCACACACACAAGCACGCACACACACAAGCACACACACACACAAGCACACACACACACAAGCACACACACACACAAGCACACACACACACACGCACACACACACACACGCACACACACACACACAAGCTTGTCTCTTTGGGAACTGAAAACACTTATGGCCGATCAAATGCACTCACCTGCACCAGGAATATGATGAGGAAGTAAAAATTTGCAATTCTTCTGAACTGCTCAAACAGGTTCTTTGGCAGGAAGTTCCACACGGTGTACTGAGGAAGTAAAAAAGAAGAAACAGTTAAACAGTGACCGTTTAAACACATAAAAGCAGACAAATAGCTAACAATAATCATTTGTAGTGATTTTAAAGTGACAGTTCTCCTTTTGCACACTAAGCTATTGTTTGCATTTATTAATTTAGTCACTATATAATTTAATCACTATAGATGTCATTTTGTTGGAGATTCTGTTTGTTATTTTTTTTTAAAGAGCCTCTATTAAGGGTTTTTGAAAATGACCTTCCATGCTGTGTGTAACAACACTAAGTGAATGAAAACATCGTCCTGAGGTTAAAATATGAAAGTGCACCGTCTTTAAAACTATTGATTCTTTACCAAAATAGTCGACTCAAGAGTTAAGTAAATGAATCAAAATGAAGTGTGGGGTTCAGATGTTTTGCTTGAATGTGTCGAAGTCGATACGGTACATCACCAAACATGAAGTGCCGGTTCAGGTAAAACATAAACGCACCTTTTCCTACAGATACCAGCGAAGTGCAGGGGTTCACAGAGACTGATCATGACACAAAGATGACAATCACAGATTAAGATTTGTGCATAAATGGTTTAAAGTTTATTTTCGCAACACCACAGTATAGTCAACCTAGTGTTGTGTTTGTTCCTGTCATTTTTCTCATTTTTGATACATTAACCCACACTGCAACGCGGGATTTGTCTGGCAATTGCTAATAAAGGAAGGAGCAGCAGAGACTATTATGTATAGAACTTTGTCAGACTTTGAAAGAGACTTTGTCAGTAACTTTTAGTTCATATGGACCAGTTTCTTTTTCCTCCAGATCATAACATGCAAATGTGATTAAAATTGTTGCCTCGTTTCATGTAGTTTGCAAAATATGCTTTTAATTGTGTGTTGTAACTTGTAAGGGCTCACCGCAGCTTGTAATCACGTATCTATTATAGATCAGTGCTTTTAATGTATTTCTCAGGTTAAAGCTTTATGGGGGTATTCACAGATAGCATCCAAAACCATGTTAAAAACATGACGAGTACTTCTTCCTTTACAGATTTCTCCACGGTGGGCATCCATAGTTCTCCAGCCTCCGGCGTCTAGACAGCAGCTCTGCACAAGACGTTTAGCCATAGGAAAAATGGTTGTGCCCAACTGAGCCTGCTTTCTCTCTAGGATTTTATTACTTCACTTTCACCAATTGGAGTTGAAGTTTTGTTCCCCGCCGCTGTCCCCACTGGCTTGCATGCTTCTGGACTTGTAGAGCTGCACATCGATAGATTTGCTCTTCAGTGTTTGAACTTTTAGCAGTGAAAATTAAACCACACTGAACTGAACTAAACTGAGCTTAAACTCTGAAAACTGAACTGACAGTTTCAATTAACTACAATCTTCAATGTGAAGCTGCTTTGACACAATCCACATTGTAAAAGTGCTATAGAAATAAAGAAGAGTTTAATTTAATTAATTTAAAATTCGTTTGTGAGCTCGCGATCCTCTGCCGTTTGCCCTTGCTATAGCCACAATCAGCTGTTTCTCACTGTCAATTTTCAAAATAGTTCATCTTTATGTGTCTTTTTTAGTTCATCTGAATGTGTGTCGTTGTTACTTAAGGTTAGGGTTAAAAACAGAGTATATGCTGGTTTTTAACTGCATTGTTATATTGGTACCCTGCATTGGGCTCTCACATTCTCTGTATGCTACTTCATAATTGTGGTGGGCGGTTGTCTCTATCTTGTGCAGAATGCAGTCGACTAATCACAAAAGATTGGGTCATGGGAGGGCTAAATGATAATGAGTGCACCAGTCACATTTCTTTCTTTTGCATTAAAATTTTCTATAGGATGCTTTACATTAATATATTTGTGCACATACATTAGATTAGTTAGTATCAAAGCGAAATCTGAAACTTATCTAACGAAAAAACAAACAACTAAAGATCAGACCAAATATTTGTACATCCAAATTAATATGTTGAGGAAAAATATTAAATACATTTTTAATAAATAGGGGATATTAACATAAAAATATACTATTTAGCTTTAAAATCATTGTAAAATTTCACAGTGTATATGTTTAGTAATATCTTATTTTTTGTAATAAAAAATACACATTTAACAGAATTTAATGAATATGTTTAATTTATTTGAAATATTACCTTGCATGCATATCAGCCTGTTGTTGCAGACCTTCAAAAGCAAAATATGACCTTTTATAATGCAAAATAGGGTCTCTTTAACTAAAGCATTTATCAATTTTGAATAGAACATAAAGTGCTGGTGTTTAGACTGCATGCCTTAAGAAGACTCATTGGCTGAATAATATTAGCTCAATTTATAGTAAATTCATTTATGATGCATTTTGTCGAACATTGTACATTTCTGTCCACCTTTATGCTACATTCTTCTTCAAATAAAGCAATTTTGATAAACAGGTAAAATTCCAAGGCAAAAAAGAGAAAAATCATTTTAAAAGCCTTTATTAACATGGCTATTCCATTAAAAACTGCACCTACACGATTTTGAAAGCAATTCTGAATTTTATGTGAACTACTCTCTTACAGCGATGTGAGCGCAAAGCCACATGCTGAAGAAAAGCTGGAGAAAGGATTAAATGCATTCAATATTCATCAGCTGGTGTGTTTGTGCTGTTCTGGGAGAGGGAGCTGAGAAGACTTCAATAGCTCCAGCTCTCTGATGTGTGCGTGTGTATGTGTGTGTGTGACCGGGCAGCAGCAGCTCCCTGGGCCAGCAGGTATTACATTGATTTGGATTAGCGACTTATCGCCTCCGTTCGGTGAACCCCAGAAAGAGGAACCTGCCACCTGATCCGTTTGGTAGTGTCTCGTCTTTGAAACGTTCAAGACAGCAGCACATTAGTTCGTGATTAACAGTTCACATCAAAGTTTAAGGCTGAATCAAATACAAAAGTATTGTGGAAATGCTTTAGATTTTTATGCTATTATTTGATTTATGAATAAAATATTTTTATGTGAATACAAAATACAAATTGTAGATCAATAATAATAATAATAATAATAATAATGATAATATTAATCATAATAATGAAACATTTACACAGCAAAAAACAAATTAAAGTGATGTGTATCACCTGAAGGCCTTTATAATGCTTCTAATTATTTCCATTTCTAATAAATGCTTTTTTTATATTCTTTTCCTTAATTTATTATATTTACTAAAACACAGCACAACAATTCTTAAATCATTTAACACAGGATAATAAAGACTGGAGTAATGGCTACTATATCAGTTTTGCAATCACATGAATAAATTACACATGAAAGCATATTTTAATAGTTTATCAATAACAGTAAACATAAATCTTTAGGGCTGATTCTAATACTGGTGCTCAGCATAAATGTGCACACTCGTCACAGTTCATTCTTTTACATTATCATTTGCTATAGGGTGCTTCACATTAAAATACAGTTGAAGTCAAAATAATTAGGCTCCTTAAAATTATTCGCCCCCGTTAAATTTTTTCCTCAATTTCTGTTTAACGGAAAAAAGATTTTTCAACACATTTCTAAACAAAAATCTCAACACATTTCTTAACACACATTAGATTAGTTAGTACCAAAGTCAAATTTGGAATTAATCTAAAAAAATAAATAAATAAACTAAAGATCACAAACCAAACATTTGAAAATCCAAATTAATTTGTTGGGAAAAACATTTACATTTTTATATTAAGATGTAAAAAAAACATAAAGAAACATAAAAATAATAAAATTTAGTTGAAATTTTGTAGCTTGTAATTTGTAACTCGTTTAAATTTAAATAAATATCTTTTAATTCCTAAACATATTAGGTGACCCATAGATATAACTGTAAAAAAACGCGTTTAAATTCATCAATATACATATTTTAATTTCAAATTAACATATCTCTTTTAAATTATAATAATAATTCCTTACATTTATATGGTGCTTTACACATTGGTGGGAATCTCCTCATCCACCATCAGTGTGTAGCATCCACCTAGATGACGCAACGGCAGCCATATTGCGCCAGACCGCACACCACACAGCAGCTGATTGGTGGTGAAGAGATTTTATGATAATAGGGCCACCCAATTATATTAATGTCCGCCAAAGTATATTTGTTGATCATTCTGAATCGATTAACCAGTGTAAAATCTTCTCTTACCCTACACGCTACGTACTGCTCGTTGTGTTTGCGGGAGACCTGTTAACACCCTTACTGCCTTATTGGCACCTAAAAAATGCATCCGGTTGAGGTTTCCTAAAATGTCCAGGATTCGACATATGTTTTCGCTTAATAAAGTTGTTGTTAATCATAGTAAATTGCACTATAATTTACTTTTACCTTTTTAATTATCTATTTTCGCTTGGCCTCACAGTTGACCACGCAAGAGCAAGAAAAACACTAAATACTTAGCCTAATTCTGTAATAAGCCAGTCTATATACCCGGAGAGAACAACATGACATTTACTGGCTACAAAATTTTTGTACACTATTAGAAGTGGTTAATAAACTAATTTGCCCTAATTAAATAATCAACTATTTTTATTTTTGTAATTATTTTTGCATTAAAAAAAAAACAGTGTATAAGAGTCTCAAAATAAATAAAAATAGTCAAAAATCAAATTATTTTTTGTTTGCCATGGGTAAAAATTGTGTTTCAATTCAGCTACCACCAAAAGTATATTTCAAACCTGTGGGAAGCACTGCAATCTCATAGTTTTTTATTAAAAAAAAAAAAAAAGGAAAATTGATTATTTTAAATGAAATACTAATATTAATATAAATGAAATACTAAATACTAATATTAATTTATGAAACACTTCTTTACAAAAGTATTTGTTTAACAAAGACTTTAATTCCATAATGCATAAACTACAAAAAAAAAATACTTTGGAGGAGTACAGAATGTCACACTTCAGCCACTGCTTAAATTTCAACTAGCAAATAAGCCTAATACGAAGCAATACAACCCAGAATAAATGCAAATACTGACTGAATAATGTGGGAGGGGATATAGAGAAACACAGAAAAAGGTGGACAGCTACTGCCATCTAATATAACCATCACTGCTAAATAATGCATCACCAAGGGTGAGGAAAGTGAGAAAGAGGGCAGTTTGGGGCACCAGCAATAAGATAAAAGGGAATACATCATCATTTCTAACAGAGCAGATGTTATACTGAGGTGAACTCAAGAAGTTGTGGCACTGTTCCCATTTTAGAGGGAAAACGGGATGCAAGGGACATGGTGGAGAATGGGTTACAGTGAGTCTGAGTGCGAAGATGCAAAACAGGTGCATGGAGAAGAGTAAACATTGCAGCGCAGGTAATTAAAGTGTGTTTAGAGCTTTACGCCAAAGAAAAATTGATCAGCGGATACCACAGCACAGCCACAGGTCTGATAAATCTATTACTTCTTACTCCCTTGTTTCTTCCTTTAGTACCTTAAAACACTCTTCATCTATCGACTGAATGAGGAGATTCAGGAAGTCCCACAAGATTAAGGGGGGCAGAGGCAACCACCCTGAACACTTGAGCGTTAATTGCAACTATGTATTTATCAGCTGGATCTCAAGAGCTGCTCTGACGGGCAAATTAGGGTTGCTGTGTTGGGTGGAAGAAAGTGGTGAGATGCACTGCAGTTTGCAAATAGCAAAGATATAAGAATAGAGGGAGAAAATACACATGGATTTCTGGGCCCAGATGCAGCAGGGGTCTCAACAGCCTCTTTACACCTGGAGGAACAGGTGGCTGAACACCAGGGCTTGAGGAAAGTGTGCTGGAGTCATGCTCTCCACATGCTGCTGCTAACACACGAGTCTTATGTGTCGACGCTGTGGTGCAGTTGCCATGGCATTAAACAAGACTTGCTAATTACGAGCTAAAGAAAATTACAAACAAGCTCTTGTCGGGAGCGAGCAAACCCCTAATGCCGTTATCCTGCAAAAAAATCTGATTACACTGCGGCAGGCTAAGCAATGACCCAGCTTGCGCTTTCAGATTCGTGACAAGGTGCGGTATAACAAATACTAGAAGTTACCTTGGAGGACACAATCCTGTTGTCACAGAATTTGGGGGGGATGAAGGCCTCGGTGTCCGGACACGGCCGATGTCCTACATAGATTGTCCTGCTGTCCACTCGCCTCTCGTCTCCTCCACACTATATACAGGTAAAGGGAAAGGAGAAGCAAATATCATTCACATGAACATTGTGGTGAGATTGAAACTTTAAAATCAGCAGAAGCAAAGACATAAGTCTGACCAATGTCAAAAAGAAGTAGTTCTTGAAAACCAGTTAGTTTTATTGCCACTGGTATATGGTGTAGTGGAAGTGTCAGATTTCACTGAAATATAAAAGGTAGCAACATCAGCAGAAACAATGACCTTTTAAGTCTGACTAGTGTCAGATAGTAGGAGTTTTTTGAGTTCTTTTTTGATAACGGTAGTTTTTTGCAATTTTGGCTGGTGACGTTGGTATAATTGTGAAATCTTGTGCTTTAAAATGTCACTATAGTAACATTACGCAACCATCAGCAGAAACAATGGCATAAGTCTGGCCAATGTCAAACAGTAGGAGTGTGTGGACTAACGGATTTGAGGGAAGTTATTTTTGCTGTTGTGTTTGGAGACACAGATGTTATTGTCAAATCTTCTGATTTAAATGTCACTTAGGTTGCATTGGTAGCAACATCAGCAGAAACAATGGCATGAATCTGACCGATGTCAAAACGGAGGAGGGTTGTCAGGCTAACATCACTGAACAGTTAGTTTTGCCATTCTGTTTGCTGACACTAATGAAATCTTCTGATTTATAAGGTCAGTGTAACACTGATAACATTTATTCCATCAAATTAACAGATGGCTGCACGGTGGCTCAGTGGGTAGCACGTTTGTTTCACAGCAAAAAGGTCGCTGGTTTGAGCCTTAGCTGGGTCAGTTGCTGTTTTTGTGTGGAGTTTGCATGTTCTCTCCGTGTTCACGTGGGTTTCCTCCGAGTGCTCTGGTTTCCCCCACAAGTCCAAAAACATGTGGTATTCGTGAATTGGGTAGGCTACATTGTCCAAAGTGTATGAGTGTGAATGAGGGTATAGGGGTGTTTCCCAGTCATGGGTTGCAGATGGAAGGGCATCCGCTGCATAAAAACGTGCTGGATAAATTGGTGGTTCATTCTGCTGTGGCAACCCTATATTAATAAAGGGACTAAGCCGAAAAGAAAATGAATAAATGAATGATTAACAGACACTATAGACTTATAATAGATTTTGATGCACTAGATTTAGATATAATGCAGTGCTTCCCACACATAGACTTTACTTGGGCGAGCTGCTCAGGTATAATAACAGCCAACCAAGTTTATTTAGAGACACTTTTTTTTTTACTATTATTATCACGACTGATTAAGTAGTGGAAAATCTTTTCTCACTAACCCATTCTGTTCCCTGTGCGCGAGACTTGTCACCACTCCCACAGACAATCTAACATGCTCTGGAAACCCACAGAGACGTGCCTTTTTGGCACTTAAAAAATGTGTATGGTCTAATACCAATTCTACCCCTTAGCCCTTCCCCTTACTCCTTGTTTTGTGCGTTCTTGTAAAGAGGTAGGGGTGTCCCAATTCTTTTTAGCTTGAAGGTGTAGGGCTAAGGGAAAGGGGTAGATAGCCCTTCGAACGAAGTGTTTTTAGGACCACAGTTTTTATAACGGCAGGATCGCTGCACCCGGAAGTAAGAAGATCCACAAATTTGTATTTTCTTTTGTCATTATAAAGAATTTTTACAACAAACAAACATGTTTTAATACATTCATAATGACGTTCATGTTTTACCGTCATGCTTTTAAAAAAAAAAAACGCTAAAATAAAAACCATTAAATTTCGCTATCTATAATCCATAATAATAACTTCTGTATAGCAGTCCCACAACATTCTGACACTTGAATACTCTGTCAGAAAAGTCTAGTGGCTGAGAATGACCTTTTTACAGTGTCTGCTATAATGTTAATGTTGTTTTGGTGTGTTTACATAGATCAACTGTGTAACTGTGTTTACATAGGCCACTGTGTAAATGCACTGTATTACGATCTTATTGACACTTTAGATCGTTATGATAACATAATATATGCCTTCAGTGATCTCCTGAAGATAAATACTAAAAAATAAAGCAGCTGGAATAACTACAGCAGTCGCAATCGTCTGATCTCATATGAAGCAAGAGATTGTGACGACATATGATGATGTGTGCAGGTGCTGTAGTGCTGTCCCAATTCTTAGGGGTACACTTTGAAAGGGTAGAGGTACAAAAACAGAATTGGGATTGGGCTTAAATCTCCTAAAATGTCCTGGAATTGCTCTTCCTTTTCTAAAGATGTCATTAATCGTATGTGTTTCTGCATTACCTTTTTACTTAAGCCTACTTTCGATTGGCTTCGCAGCTGACAGCGCACGCACATTCGCATAAGGCGAGGGAGGTATTAAATAATTAATTCTTGAATCTTTCAGACATATTTTTACATCTGCCAAAACTGACTGCAAAATATATGTACACGATTAGTCAGTCAACGCATTTGCCTTAAATAATCTACACATTTTAACGTTGTAATTATTGTAATTTTTAGAGATGCCATCTGTTTTTATTCCTTTTTCTGTCATTTAATTTCTCAGTTGCTGTATATTTAAATTTATATGATGATGTCATTTGGCTATACTTCATAGGCTATTTTATATTCATGTCTAAAATGCTTTGCAATCCAAGTTTGCTTTATATTTTATTAATTTGATGGTGTCATTTGGCTATAATTCATAGGCTATTTCATTTACCCATCTAAAATGCTTTGCGATCTTGAAAGAGGGAGAAAAGCAGATTTTACCTGTCAGTGGGAGCACATGGCTCCTGAATAGCATAAAAGTAAGAGAAATAGTGGACTTCTTTTTTTATTTCAAGAGCCTTTTTTTTTACTTTGGTGTGTTAAATGGTGTGTTTCAAATCAGCTACCACCACAAGTATATTTCAAATTTGTCAGAATCACTGTAATGTATCTTTTGTATAAGATTAATAATAAACTATTTTCATGCTTATTTCAATCTCCTGCAGACTTGATTTTTCTCAAGTTTGCTATAACCGAAAATGTGTTGGTGCTGATAGCCTTTTGGGCAGTTCACTGACATGCAGTGCAACTGTTCTTACAGTGTCCCAAGTTCAAATTTCGGTTCACAGACCCCCTCTCTATCCAACAAAAATCTTTGAAAAACCAAACAAACAAACATGAATTCATATCTTTCATGGTGTTAGCGTTTTACTTATTTGCCAAAAAAGGCTTTGTTAGCAAAAAAATATGCACTTATTATATAGAAATCTGTTTTCCTTCTGGAAGAGTTAGTTGGAAAACATTGGCAGATTACCGAGGACAAATGAAACCCTCTTCATCAAACAACAAACAAAAGGGCTGGGTTGTTTGTAAAGCTTTGCAGAGCATCTTTTAGCACCGGTCCAAATTTAACGAGAGACACAGCCAAGTATAACAAAGGTCAGGCGGGTCAATCCCACAAGCTGAGGTTTGATCAAGCTCCTGACACTGGACAAGCCTGTAGTGTTCCACAGTTCAGAAATCTCATGCTTATAGCTGGATGTAAATCGCATGCTGTCGTGGTTTTATTGCAATGGTCAAGAGGATATGTGGTCATCCTCACACAGCACAGGAAGTGTTTATGAGGAAAACAGCACAGGAAGTTGCTGGGCTGTGTATTCAAAAAATAGTCAGTGAACAGAACAGTGTTTCCCGCAATGGTATTCAGCAGAGATGCTGTGAAGATGCTGAATCTACAGTGCCATGGCAAAACAAATCATCAATTTTTCCAGCGCTGAGAAGCCTGAGCAGAATATGATGAGATAAACAGAGCGTACCGTGAAGTAATACAAACATAATGAACAGACAGCATGTCTTTCGTTTGCAAAAAGACAGATCAATATGATTTGGTCATAAACAAATCTCAAATTTTAATGACACTCAATTAATTAGCTATCAAAAATGTCGAATATATCAATCTAAAAAGTGGCTGAAAGTTTGTGACACTAAAATTAAAGATAGCTATTCATTATTTTTTGTAAAATTCCCTTTACTATTCAGCTGCATAGTATAGCACTGTTTGGTAAATACAGATTGTGTGTGGCGGTGAGTGTATTGTTGCCTGCCCGCACGAAAAACTCCCTAGGAAATACTGGAACAGGCCTGTCTGTTTCCCCTGTGGTCAAATTTGTGACTCAGGACATTCCTGTAAAGGGCAGCGACTTGACTTGGAGCTGTGTAAGCTCTGGATTGCCTGAGGAAACGTTGGCACAACACACACATGGTAATGGACAGCCAGGAAGCCAGATCTCTGCAAGCCTTTTCTCTTTTGTGGCCTATGGTCAACATTGGCTTGATTATGGTTTTTCGCAGAAGAGGGGGAAGCGGAGTGCAAAAGCTTCACATCTACCCACAACAAAACCAGATAAAACTGTGACAGTTAACTCTCCAGCAGAGCTGAGAACGATACTGTGAAATGGAACACTGATAAGCTACAAGCTGAGCACATTTAAATAGCAAAATCAAGCTACTCTTGTCAAAACGAAGCTAACTCCATGACAAGCTACTAAGAAGAGCAAGCTGCATTTAAAATACTCAATTGGCAATATCTTTTTGAATATGTAACTGAAGTCAGAGGCACTAGGCAAGGGCTGATATAAGATTCTGACGGTATGATAACCTTGGATAAAAATATCCCGGTTTCACGGTATTGAGATTATTGCTCTAAAATATGCTCTTGTTAACGTCAAAATTTTTTCAAATTTAGGAACAGTAAACATGTCAGGCTAAATAATGAAAGTGAATCATTGACTTCTGCTGTTTTCATTAGTTTCAAAAAAACAGATTTCTCTTTACAATTTAAAATGACATCTTTGGAGATCTTTTGCTGGAGATACTGTTGTCCTAAAAAAAAAAAAAAGAATAAAATAAATAAATAAATTTAAAATAAATAAATAAATAAAAAACCTTACATATACCTTAGGAATGATATAGTAGAAAATTGTCGATTTTAAAACCTTGACTTTTACAAACAGCAGTATACCTTGAAAACGGTTATCGTCCCATGACTACCCAGCACAAAAACATTGAATGAATAAG